TTTTCCATGTAGAATATGAATATTAATTTGCTTGAAAAGTTTAGAATGTATTCATGTTATTATGCCAGAGTCGAAATAACTAGATCGATCGTGGAACAACAACAACAAAACAGAAAATGGCGATTGGAAAATGTAAGCACTGGACGCATTCACCGTTCACGTACTGAAACTGAAAATTGCACACTGATATGTGTTTAGAATTTGGATGAACAAAAGACAGAAACTGGAAACCAAGCCGGTCACGATGTTCAAACTCTGTGTCACGGTCATTTTGGGAAGGTACACGATCACCCACATCGCGTACTTTTCTTGCAGGTTCAAACCTGTATGGGCCAATTTGTCCCTGGCACTCTAAAACAAAATCGTGACATCTCTCATTGTCATCATACTCTTCGATTTCATAACTCTCGTCAGACGATAACATAGATTCCGTGTCGCTTTCCGAGCACTGCATAAGTATAGCTGCCATTGTGAGACGATGACAAGTTCCCCCCGTGACGTCACAAAGTACCCTTGTATGCTAATTAGGTACTCTAGTTGGAGCCTCGCTCTGAGTCGACCAAGAAACTGAACGTGGGCGTGTCCTTATCCAGAACATTATTATTGATCGTTTACTTAATTTATGTACATTTTTCACTTGATTTTTTTTCACAATGTTTTTATAAATAAATTTTGCACACAAAAAAAGTCAATTGTCCCAATTCAGTTACACTTTAAGATAGGAAATAATATATTTAAAATCGGAAGTGGATTTTCGTGTTTTGTCTCTATAGTCACATAATTCTGCATTTCAGTTGACAAGCTGATTAAACTTTAGTTATCACATTTTATTAACCAACCAAATGGTCATATAAAAGTATTCCTTTGATTATGGCTTGCTATAGTACTTGGGCTAAATTAAATATTAAGCTTTTATTGGTTTGCCAAATATAAATAAAATATGGCGGCGATATTCAACTGTTCAAATAAACTAACTGTCAGTTTGATCAATATTATGCAATGTGTAGTAATAGTTGGTCACAAACTGATTATCGTGATACGAATGTGTACAGGAACGATCAATAGACAGTGTTAGATTAACGCCAAGTTCACACTGTAAGAAAGACTGGTTCACACTGCAAGTATGCCTTGATTTCGTCGTTTACAGTACATGAATGCCTAGTTCGCAATAAATTAATGAATGATTCACACTGCAAAATAGCCTAGTTCACACTGCAAAAATGCTCAGTTATCAGTTCATGAATGCTTTGTTCTCACTGCAAGAATATACGGTTCATCCAA